TACTATATGGAACCAAAATATATATGACATTATAAATTGGAATTTTTTGAAAAGATCTTTTTATAGCTCAGAAGAGCTGTAGATCTTTTAATTATAATGACAGTACGTCTTCTTGTTAGAAGAGCTGCAGGTCCTCTTATTAAATAAGCTGTTCACTTTTCCTCTATACATTTCCATTAAAAGAGTTGTCTTCTTACTAAATAAGCTGTAGATCTTCTTATTTTAAGAGCAGTAGGTCTTCTTATTAAAAGAAGTGTATGTCCTCTTATTAGATGAGATGTTAATGTTCTTTTTAGGAAGACCTAATCCTATTAGAAGAGCTGTAGTTCTTCTTATTAGCAGAGCTGTATATCTTCTTATTTAAAGAGTAGTAGATATTTTTATTATATGAACTGTATATCTTCTTAGTGAGAAGAGCTGTAGGTCTTCTTATTAGAAAAGCTGTAAATCTTCTTATTAGCGAACTGTTGGTCTTCTTATTAGAAGAGTTGTAGGTATTCGTATAAGAAGACCTGTAGGCGTTCTTAATCACATAGATCTTGGTCTTCTTATTAGAAGAGTTGTAGATTTTCCTATTGGAACAACTGTAGGAGTTCTTATAAGAAGAGCTGTAGGTCTTCATATTAAAAGTATTATCTTCAATCGTAAACTAAAAACGCAATACGAGATTTTTGACCTACCAAAATTATATAAAATTTCGCTCATATAACATTCGTAAACTTATAAATCTTTTTCTTCATTAACTTTAGAGTAGCCAGTTAACAATTAATCAACTTAAAGACTTCGCCATGAGTCCCATTTTGTATAAGAATCTACTACAGTATATGCAAGAATCTACTACTTTTTACTACGATAACGAATTTTCCATTATGTTATCGAAGAAAATAGTAAAATCTTGCAGATTCTTACAGTACGGGAACAGACCAAAAATTTACTTGTTAATAACTAAATTCCAATTATCAAGGTATTTCGAGATGTAAATTTCAAAAATATATAATTGAAAAATAGAAAAACATTGTCGTCAGTAGTAATGTCATCGAATATATTAAAAATAACTGTTTTTCTTTCGATTCTATTCCCTTCAACTCTTGAAACGCCAACCATATGTGATTCATCCATTTGCAATCACGAAGGACAGTGTTTCAAAGAAAATGGACAACAGAGATGTCAATGTGTTGGTGATAAATATTTTAAAGGGCCTCACTGCAATGAAATAGTAGATAATTGTGTGGAGCAGCCATGTCAAAATAACGGCGAATGTCTGAATCTGGTGGGTCAATTCATATGTCGAAATTGTGCCGAGGGATATGGTGGGCTGTGGTGTGATATCAAACGACAAAATATATTTCAAAATATGGTACTTTATTTCAATCATTATGGATATTATGCCCAGGAACATGTATTTCTCTTGATGGTGGAGCAACGTGGACTGGTGGATTTCTCTGTGGAGCTGATGGGTAGCAATTATGTTATAGATAGTTTCGAAACGAATTCCATAAATTCCGACGAACAATGGATATATTCTGGGGATTTAGAATCAATTATTAGAAAGCATGGAATACGTTATTACAATGATTTGCCATTTAAAAAGGGTTATTACCATTTGTCGCACGAAGTTTTCTGGCATTTGGGTATCCTTACCCTGTCTCTGCGTTCCTATGACACTGAAACTGCCACAGATTTCTTTTATTATCAAGATTTTGATATTTTAATTATACCTCCGAAGGATTTCGAATGTGTACCACAACTGAAGTTCCGGCACGGATTTGATCCATTGGAACCGTTGATGCTGGACATTGCTCGTTTTAATACATTTGAAGGGGAGGTGCAAGAACGGTGTTATACGGATTCAAATATCAACTATGAGTGGCGTATTTTTAATCCAATTGGAAATATCATGTTGTATGATTTCGGTAACACCGACATACCTCTGTTAAAAGTACCACCATATAGATTGTGGTTTGGTCATCAGAGTGAAGTTATGTCTTCTTATTCATTGGTGCTGCGTATGATTGAAAGGAGTGACGGGAAAGTGGAAAGAATTACAGAAGCAAGGGTAAGTAAATGTAATTTTATTAATTGAGTTTATTCTAAAGATTTTGTCATTTTCAGTGTTTCATTTTTGTATTACCCAAACCTTTGAAGGCTAATATAGTTGGTGGACTTCGTCGAGAAATTGGTCAAAATCAAAATATTTTATTGAATGGCTCGAAAAGTCGTGACTTTGCATTGGCTCCAGATACTTTACAGGATTTATTCTATACCTGGGATTGCATATCGTTACATCAGCCAGAGAATGAGTTCTGCAAGAAAAATATGGGTGCAGGTAATGTTTCTCTAATAACAAAAAGTAGAAATATTGAAAAGTTTAGTAAATAGCCTAAAACTATGGGCCTAACAAGTTCTTCTATAGGTACTAAACACAAAACTAAATATATTAATTTATCGATGGTTCTGAAAATCTTCAAATATAAGGTCTTCCCATAGATGAGTTCTAGGTCTTCTTATTAGGTCCTCTTATTAGAAGAGTGTTGAGTCCCCTTATTAGAACAGCTCTAGGTCTTAGAGAAGCACTAGGTATTAGAGAAGCTCTAGGTCTTAGAGAATCTCTAGGTCTTCTTATTAGAAGAGATTAACGTCTTTTTACTAGAAGAGATTTAGGTCATCTTAATAGAAGAGCGAAAGGTATTCTCATAGAAGAAGTCTAGGTCTCATCATAGATGAGGTCCAGGTCTTCACATATATGAGATCTAGGTGCTCTTATTAGATGAATTCTAGGTCCTCTTATTAGAAAAGCTTTAGGTCTTCTAATTAGAAAAGCTGTAGGTCTTCCTACTAGAACAGCTGCAGGTCTACATACTAGAACAGCTGTATGACTTCTTATTAGAAGAGTTGTAGAAGATCTGTAGACATAATTATTAGAAGAGTTCTAGGTCTTCGTATTAGATGAGCCGTAGATTCACAGTAGAAAAGCTCCAAATATTCTTATTAGAAGAGAGAGAGAGAGAGAGAGAGAGAGAGAGAAATATTCTTATCTTCTTATTAGTAATGCTGGTCTTTAAATAAGACAAGTTCTGTACCTTTTTATTAGATATATTGTATGTCTAATACGAATAAATAGGTAGGTTTCTTATTATAAGAGCTTTGCAGAAGAGCTTTCTGGTTTCTTATTAGAATATATGTAGGGTTTCTTATTAGACAAGCTATATGCCTTCATATAGTACACAGGTGTTATTTTGCATAACATGAAGTTTCGGGGACGTACATTAAGGTCAATATCAATTATTATGTTTTCACAGGGAATACATTGCACCTGGCAAAAGGTCTTCTGCATGTCAATAATACCTACACATTCAGTCTCACGATAAAATCCAAAGTAAATCCCTTAAGTGTGGATACAGCTCACCAAGAAGTCCGTATTATTTCAGACTACCAACTGAGCGTGGATATAAAATGTAGACGTAATTGTTTGAGGGATCACTTTGTTGCTGGACAAATGATTCATGTCGAAGGTGTATGCGTGGAATGCTCTTCAATTTCACAATTTTATTGGAAAGTAAATGGTATTAACCACAATGAAAAGCGTCATCTGTTATACACACCAAAGAAAGAAGAAAAGTTATTGTTAATCGATTTAGAAGTTCGGGATAAAGGGTTAAAGGGTCAAACCGCAATCGAATTAAAAGTAAATACTCCTCCTAGTGGAGGCGAATGTTCCGTGGAACCCAGTATTGGTATAGCATTTGAAACTGTATTTCACATTGAATGTGTAGATTATGAAGATAAGTATATGCCTTTGGAATACCATTATTATTCAGATAAATTTCCTTTGAAGCGGATCAGTGATCCAAAAATAATTCTAAAATTACCAACATCGAAAATATTAAAAATCCAAATATGTGATCAATGGAGTGCTTGCAATGAAACAGAATTAAAAGTGGAAATATCAGCACTTCCGAAACCCAAGAATTTATATGAGTTTCTAATGACAAATGGAACTAATCTGAAAGGCTTCATTGAAAATTCCCAAAGACTGACGGCTATAGTTTTGATAAAAACTGTTGTGGAATTTGTAAATGACGACAATGCAGTTCAGCTTCTAGCGGAACAACTTCATAATTTCCATCCTCTCACTATGATAGAAGTTGAGCAATGGCTAACTATTTGTCATGATTTAATTATGAATATACGTCCCTTGGATTATCATAAATCTTTGGCCATTACGGAATATCTTCGAAAATTATCAAAGGGTCTGGAATTTATAATTGCTGACAAAGAAATTGTATATCTCAATCTAGAAACCTATCAAGTGGCAACTCAACAATTAATCAACCTAGTAAAAGAATTTGCAACACCTTGGGAATCTTTGATGGAAGTCCAAGCATTATTCCCCGAAACAATAGTAGCACATGATCCTTTGGCAGAACACTATTCCGAATTCCTAGATTTTGATATATTAGTCATAGAGAAAATAACCAACTGGTTAGAGTCGTCTAGGGAATTGCAAAAATGTTTTGAATTAATGAGTTCCCAAGCGTCAAATATCTACCAACCGGAAGAACCTGCCTTCATAATTAATGAAAACCTATTTGAAATGCTTATCTATGCAATTGATAAGGCTAAAACTCAAATATTTTCTTCTAAAGATCAATCGATTGAATTGTATATTGGAAATGAGACAATTCGAGAATTACAAAGACAACTCAATGCCAAAGAAATTATCCTGCAAATGGGTTACATGGGGTATAATCGATTTTGGTGGTATCCACAGGAGCAACCCATTTCCTCCAATTTCGTATATATTTCCACTTTTCCCCAGCAATCTATTTTAAGGTTGGACAACCCAATTTTAATGAAATTCCAATTAAAAATGTCATCCGAAAATCGGGAATTTAATGTGAAAATTAAAAGTCCGCAGCACATGCCATTGTTTAGCGTGGAAATGCCTCCAAATTCATTACTAATCTTAAAAGTAAATAACTACAGTGTTTTAGTCGATATTGGACTCGGAGAAAAACCAAGTGGCTTTCAAATGCAATTGAAATCACTTCCCTACTCCTTACCTACCAATAAAAGTCAATCTGCCTTTAACCACCACTCTCAATCAATTGATGCCTTCATAGCCTTCCTGGCAAATGGAGAAGAAGTACACGAATTTCCAATTTCCTTTAAATTTTCCCTCCACATCCATCAATGCATTTACTGGGAATGGAATCTAGAAAATCCGCAGTGGTCATCTCTTGGCTGTAAACCCACAAATGTCACCAATTCTCAACAATTGCAATGTGAATGTCAACACTTTTCCGATTTTGCTGCCAAAACATATCAACCTTCTGTCAAAGAAGACCTGATAGAACATTGGTCGCTGCAACATCTTCCCATCAATTGGGATATAATCTCATTCCATATGATTTTGCTAATTTTATGTTTCACACTAATCTTCCTAACTTTTCAAAGGGTTAAGGATTACCATCCCATTCTTATAACGGATGCCAGTGACAAAGATTACCAAAATATAGAACTCCTTATTTATACCGGTTCACATTGGAATGCGACGACAACATCAAATATTCAATTTCGATTTGTATCGGAAAAAGGTCCATACTCCTTGGAGGTGTTGCAAAATCCTTGGAAACCACAACTCTTGAAAAATTCCATCACCAAAATCCTTGTCAGTAGTCAACACATTCAAATGCCCTTCAAATTAATTATTTCCAATAGACAAACTGGACGTTATCCTTCATGGTATTGCCACAAGATTATTGCATCGAATCTTACCACTCAAGAGAATCTAGTTTTTCTTGTAAAGAAATGGGTTTCTTCACAACCTCTGGAGTTGATGTCATCTGCCGGATGTTACACTTGGAGCGGACGTTTTTATGAACATCTATCGTATTACTATATTAATTGGTTTCAATTCCAACCTCTTTGGGGACCTATACAATTTACAGACTTGTGTTGTTTTGAAAGGTGTTGTATATGGGTGTCCCAGACATTTGTCACTGTGTGCATTGTCTCTTGTTATTATGGTCCAACATCAATGGAATCCTATGAAAAAGATAGGGATCTGTATAAATATCTAAAATTTAATGTTGTCGAATTATTTATACTTTCGTTTATTTGTTTCCTAGCTAGCATTTTTATAAAAATAATATTTAAAACGTCGATATTTGTTTGATAAACATTTTTGTAATAAAACAAAACCACACAAATTCCGTCCTAACATATATATATATGGGCAATATTGCCAATTTTTTAACATAGCAGAAGCGGAGGTTCACCCCTTTATAACTCGGGAACTACTTAAGTATATGAAAAAAGTGAATAGTTTTGGGTTAATTTGAAAATACCGCGGATTTATTTGCGTTTTCTGTGTATCATTTCCGCTTCAATAAATGACCTCATCGGTATAGATCGATGTATTTTTTTAGGGTGCACACCGAAATCGGATGCGCGTTAATGGCATATGTGGCCTTCCAAAAACACGAAATTTGGCAAAAAATGTTTTTGAAAATATCGCGGATTTAATGCTTCAATAAATGACCTCATACGGATTTTGATGGAGTTTTCGGAAATTATTCGCGTTTTACGGTTTTTTGGGTACTTCAATGTAACGTGCGGCACATCTTAGCCGTCAAATGAAATTTCGCAAAATATATATGGATTGGAAGATAAACTTCAGTACTTCCTGGAAACCGCATGCGCATCAAATGATTTTGAGAATTACGCGATTTACACGCAATTTAAAATGTATATTTCATAATATTATTTTATTTTAAGATTTATTCCTATTTATAGAATTCTAAGATTTATCGGAAGGGTCTTGATATAATCCGCAAGGCGTATACTTACACACAAAAAGAAATTATTAATATATATGCCAATTATTCGTCGAAATTCGGGTAAAGTAGCAGAATAACCCCAAAAGTTTTTTCTGAATTTTCTTGTATAAAAAATTAAAAAAATAAATATGATGACATTATTTTTTCGAACCAAAAACAAATATTTTTCCTCAATATATTGTTTTGTTGTCGCTGTGATTTAGAAACCGCTACTCGGACTTGTGTAATTTTGATATCATTTGATTCACCATGGTGTTTAGATTATGTAGATATTTTTAAATTAATTTTTAGGTGTGTGTATGTCATTAATATAAAGAAAATATTGACGTAATCTCCTATATTTTTATTATTTTTCTCATATTTCGCGAAGATGTACAACTTTTTCGCGATTATTATAATATATTCATATTCTTATTTTACGGAGGAAGATATATATCAACGTTTTTGGTCAATATAATAAACGGCGTAATTTTAAGATTTTTTTCTTATGCCCAAAATTAAAACCTCGATAACTTTTGCGCGCATCAACAAAAAATTTGATCGCGAACGGTTTCGGAGTCAGAACATTTGTCTCTATATGTGTACCAAAAATCATTGATGTGCCACAAAATATATATAAATTTGTCGAATCCAGCCCCTAGGGTGATTCTATGGACAATTCTAAGCAACTTTGCTGAAGGAACCATTTATGTTGAAAGAGAAATGTCGAGAGATACGAAGATAGCTCATAGATCAACAGGCCTATCAAACAGGATAAGGATGTACTTGCCAAGAACGAGCAAGCTTTTATAGTTTTTTGTGCACTTATTTTTATAACAGCTTTTCACACTTATGAATGAATGTGCCTTTTGCATTAAGTTAAATATTTATAATTAAAATATTAAACTCGCAAAGAAACAACAACATGATGAATGTTATTTTGCCCAGGTCAATAACAATGTGTCTCTGTGTGTGTGTGTGGATATTATAAACAGCAACAATAATAATAAAAAATAATAATAATACAAATACAAACAGAAGGACATCTGTACAATGAATGTCATATGTATTGTTCGGCTTGTAATTAATAAATTTATGATGGCACCACACACAATAACAATGAATGTGAGCGGATCAGCGAGTGAGCGGGCGAGCGTTATTCCTGCAGCTATTATTTTAAACATTTCATCAGAATTTCTTGTATCGGTCGATATTATCGGCCATTTATCAGTTTTTTGACTCACTGTCATTGATATTTTCCTACGACGCTGCAACAATAGTCATATAATGATAATGATTGCTTGGATCACTTTACGCCAGTAATTAATTCCATTGTATATGGGTGCGTGTGGGTGTATGTATGTGTTGGGAGAGAATTGTGACAATTTTAGTTAAACGAATGCAATGCTGAGAAATTACAATAAGTTGTGTGGGTAATTGAGCAGCATACCAATGCACCGTATGGGGGTTTTTTTGTAATGTTCTGCCATAATGAGTTTGGGCGAAATGGCCACACGGGTAGTCGGCGACAAACGCAATTATGTTAAGAGTTGGGAATTACGAATAAGACCGGGATATTAAGTGCGGTGGTGTAACTGTTATACTTTACTGGAGTGAATGTAATAAACTTATAGTTGCAGAGTGTGAATATTTAATTAAAATTTAAATTAAAACGTAGTGTAATAAGAAGCCTATCTAACCTGTAATGTAATGGTGATGTAAAATTTCATGACAAGGATATGGTGGCAATTGGACTTATATTGTTTTTCATTCTTAACGACATAGATAAACATACGATCATTTACCTCACAAAATAGTAATTTTTCTATAAAATGTGCAAAATACCTCTCACATAACAACCCTATGCACATGTATTTTTGTAGGAAAACGTATGTCCCTCATGGTCTCTGAAAAAATATTACTTTTTGGGCAAAATTTTTATTAACTGCTCCACAAAATTAATGAGTTTGACATAACCTCAAAATTACTATCACAAATCAATTTTTTCATTACTATGATTTTTTCACATAATACAAAATTTAACAATTCCAATTTATATGTGTGTATGTGTAAATCCATTTTGCTTGTAATTACATTATTATGATTGTTTTTTGTTATTGTTGTTGTTTTGTCTAAATGCGTGTTAGTTAGAGATTAACACAAATGTAAATTTAATTGAATTAATCCCCAGCTAATTGGCTAATAACATAATTATGAGTCCACATAATAAAATAAATTGATAATTGAGTTAGAATGAAAGCCATGCTGCAAAAACATAATTAATTCTTCTGCCATACAATAACAACAACAACAAAATATAGTGTTTTAAATAATAAAACTTAATGACTCTCTAATGGGTAACATAAATGTGGTTCGATGCGGTTCAATATTTGCAAATATCATAATGCTGAAGTGTGAGTATTGAAGTGTTATAAAAATAATTGTTCATCACAAATAATGAGTTATATGTTAACGCTTCTAGTATTTATTGACATAATAAGATAAATTGTGTAGTGTACCAACAACTTTGGAGAGCAAAAAAATCAGTGTAATATTATTACCACAACTTAACCTATTTCAATAAGGATGGCAAATATAATTGTTACAGTTCAGAGTATTTACTTACTCATTTGCTCACACTTATTTACATATAAATCCACTTAAAAGTTATTTAACAATTTCTGTTACACGCAGTTATAAAATGAAATGTGTAGTTAGGGATGCATGCAGAAGGAAAGTGTTGCGTGACTTGGCACATATTTTAAATATATTAAATGAATTTTTGATGGATGCTTAGTAAGTACGAAATATCCATAAAATGCCCATATAGGTCTTTTTGTAATCGTACCTTATGATTTTCAGTTAGTTTTGGGTACCTTACCACCAAAGTTATGGTTTGACATTTTAGAACTTTGTACCTCGTTGTATATTTTTCGTCACTAAAATCAAGTTCAACGAATATCGGTACACTTCCTCTTGTACCTCTCCCACAAAATGGTTAACATTTTGCTGGAAATTATTTTTGTAATATATAACAAATTTGTGTAAAGTACAAACAAAACTAATAATATAAAATACATCCGATTTGAACAAATTTTTTACCAATTAACATATTAATCATTCTTGTATTAGGCTAGAATATGTGGATAATCGGTCCAGCCCTTCTACGATTTTTTTGTTTTTGATTTTTGGATTTTTAATATTTTTGATCTTTAAAAAATATTTTTTTAAAGATTCATGCCTATGGAGAATCTTTGAAAAATATTTTTTAAAACAGTGAACGGAGCAGTATAGTCAGACGGGGCCGACATGTGGTCCATTTCATCCCAAAAATATTACCTGGTCATCACGAAAATTATTAGCGATCTCCTTTTCCATAACTGGAACTTCGTGGAAATTTCAAAGCGATCAGCGCTATATTTTCGTCATCTAGTGTGTTAATGGGATACTAAATAATATATGTAAACATTCACGATGTTTGGGCCATTATTGCAGCCTCTGAAGCGATCAGAAAATCAGACAATAATAAAGTTTTTGGTCCATTTCATCTCCTAAATATTAACCGAACTTTACCAAAAACAATAGGGGTCTTCATTGACCAGAACCCATCCTACATGCAAACTTTCGTGAAGATTGTTCCATATCGGTGGTCTGTATCGTGTTTACAAATTATAATAGACAAACGGACGGACACACATGTCTAGATCAACTCAGCTAGTCGAGATATGACGATCGGTATACTTAAAGGTGGTTCTAGGACCAATATTTCGCGGCTGCACAAAGCTATAATACCCTGATAACATAGTTGTGTAGGGTATACAAGACTATGGAGGATCTTTGAAACCCCGTTTTAAAAAATCCTCCTAAAAACATAGAGGACCTAAGAAAAAATATTTTTATGAAATCCATGCCTATGGAGGACTTAAGAACATTTTTTTTTAAATCCTCGTCAGTGGAGTTTTTTTTTTAATTTAAAAAGCTTCACGCTTATAAAGCATCTTCGACAAAATATTTATAAAAATTTCACGCCTATGGAGGATATATAGAAGACTTTTCAAATCTACTCCTATGGAGGATCTATGAAGAACTATTTTAAAAAAAATCACGTCTTTGTAGGATCATTGAAAAAAATATTTTTTATATATCCACCCATAGAGAGAATCTTTAAAAAGAAATTAAAAAATATTTTTCAAAAGTTTTTAAAAAATCCTTGGAGGATCTAAGAAAAAAATATTTTTAAAAGGAAGTGATGAATAACAAAACCAAATGTCAAATATCAAAACACAATCCTTTCAGATCTTTAGGCCTACACATTTTCTTTCACATACATCAATTTCATTCACCAAATACTCACACA